TGGAGGCTCCCTCCCTCTGGTTGGCGGTTTTTCATCATTCGATGAACTGGCAGGTGGAGCTGCTGGCTAGCCTTACCGGGCTCCCCCTCCCCCCTGTCGGGGGAGTCGGAGGCACTAACGAGTGGGCACGCTAGTTGGGTGACGATTTGGTTGTTTATTGTTTCCTTTTGGAGGGGAGTTCTTTGGCTCTGTTTGGATGTAGGTTGCAATTTTCACCAGTTGGAGGTTTGTATTGTTATGGCTACCTTTCTGGGGGTACCCCAGTCGATGGCAGAAATAACATCCTCAAAATGTAGAGTGATCATGTGGCCATTGCTCCCTGTGCCTCTCTGAGGATGTCAGGTTCTGGTTTGTGGTCTCAGTAGGCAGAACTCCCATAACTGCTGTCCCGAAACTAATATAGCACATATCAGTCTCAATAGCTTCAGGAAGCCTCTGGGGCTCGCCCAGAAAATGGCGCTTCATTACATTCAACTCTGATTTTTGCTGTTATCACAATATGCACACATCATCTACCTACATTTTTATGTATCGGAACAAACCATTAACCTGTTCAGGAGAGCACAAACAGCACTGCACCACCACTAAAGAATTTTGTTCATGACTTTTGTGAGACCAAAGTGGTACAAGCAGCATTTGTATGGTACCCATATCTTAAGAAGCACATCAACAAACTGGAAAAGGTGCAAAGGCATGCAACTAAATGGCTTCCGGAGTTGAAAGACAAGAACTACGGAGAGAGGTTAAAGGTATTAAATATGCCAAAACTTGAAGATAGAATTAAAACAGTCAATATAATCACTACATACAAAATAGTAACGGGAATCGACAAAATTGATAGGGAAGAATTCTTGAGACCTGGAACTTCAAGAACAAGAGGTCATAGATTTAAATTAAATAAACAAAGCTGCTGAAGAATTAATAAGAAAATTTACTTTTGCAGAGTGGTAGATGGTTGGAACAAGTCAAGTGAGAAGGTGGTGGAGGCCAAAACCATCACTTGTTTCAAAGTCGTTTCATATGACAGAATGGTGGGAAGATGGGATACCACGAGCATAGCTCTCATCCTGTAGCTACACTTAGATAACATTAAGATAATTTCATGCTCATTAGCTCACGACACCATCTGACTGCAATATTCCTCCTCCCAACACATTACGCACATTACTAATTCTAGGCACAATGCTGCCGTTACCAAAATTCTGGTCATTAAATTCTAAAAATTAATAATTTTCCACAAGTTTATTTTCTAAAGGAACATGAGCTGTAATTTCAAGATAATTAGATGCGCAAAAGAACTGCAGAGTGCTGTGACAGACTGTGTTGTGCTGTGAACATCATAAACAGCATTCTAATTACCTAAGCGTAGTTACCTAAGAGTAGTCACAGGATGAGAGCTACGCTCGTGGTATCCTGTCTTCCCAGTACTCTTTGTCATATAAAGCGTTGAAACTACTGACAGTTTTGGCCTCCACCACCTTCTCACTTAATTTATTATATTTTCACTGATTTCTGAACATTGTGCATAGTCTTTATCACAGTCAGGATCTTCCATGATATTATCATCGCAAAGTGAACATGTTTTTTTTTCAAAATGGCGTCTATTTACTGGAGGCCTGAGAAAGCCGATGTGATCCCTGGGTACCTGTCAGACTTTCAAATCTAATGTGGCTTGTTAAATCCTTCCGAGGTGATTGGCACAGGCTAGTCAGATATGCCGCCATCATCCCACTGTGGCTCGCATAAAGGGTTAGGACTGGCCCACAGCTGAGGGGTGACACTGCTGAGGGTGACACTGCTGAGGGTGACACTGCTGAGGGTGACACAGCCAAGGGTGACACTGCTGAGGGTGACACAGCTGAGGGTGACACTGCTGAGTGAGGGTGACACTGGTGAGTGAGGGTGACACTGCTGAGGGTGACACTGCTGAGGGTGACACTGCTGAGGGTGACACTGCTGAGGGTGACACTGCTGAGGGTGACACAGCCAAGGGTGACACAGCTGAGGGTGACACTGCTGAGGGTGACACAGATGAGGGTGACACAGCCGAGGGTGACACAGCCGAGGGTAGCACCACTGAGGGTGACAATGCTGAGGGTGCCACAGCTGAGGGCAAAACAGCCGAGGGTGTCACCACTGAGGGTGACACAGCCGAGGGCGACACTGCCAAGGGCGACACAGCTGAGGGTGACACAGCTGAAGGTGACACAGATGAGGGTGACACATCTGAGGGTGACACTGCTAAGGGTGACACTGCTGAGGGTGACACTGCTAAGGGTGACACAGCTGAGGGTGACACTGCTGAGGGTGACACTGCTGAGGGTGACTGCTAAGGGTGACACAGCTGAGGGTGACACAGCTGAGGGTGACACAGCTAAGGGTGACACAGCTGAGGGTGACACAGCTGAGGGTGACACAGCTAAGGGTGACACAGCTGAAGGTGACACAGCTGAGGGTGACACAGCTAAGGGTGACACAGCTGAGGGTGACACAGCTAAGGGTGACACAGCTGAGGGTGACACAGCTAAGGGTGACACAGCTGAGGGTGACACAGCTGAGGGTGACACAGCTGAGGGTGACACAGCTGAGGGTGACACAGCTGAGGGTGACACAGCTGAGGGTGACACAGCTGAGGGTGACACAGCTAAGGGTGACACAGCTGAGGGTGACACAGCTAAGGGTGACACAGCTGAGGGTGACACAGCTGAGGGTGACACAGCTGAGGGTGACACAGCTAAGGGTGACACAGCTGAGGGTGACACAGCTAAGGGTGACACAGCTGAGGGTGACACAGCTGAGGGTGACACAGCTGAGGGTGACACAGCTGAGGGTGACACAGCTAAGGGTGACACAGCTAAGGGTGACACAGCTGAGGGTGACACAGCTCAGGGTGACACTGCTGACACAGAGGGTGACACAGCTAAGGGTGACACAGCTGAGGGTGACACAGCTAAGGGTGACACAGCTGAGGGTGACACAGCTAAGGGTGACACAGCTGAGGGTGACACAGCTGAGGGTGACACAGCTGAGGGTGACACAGCTAAGGGTGACACAGCTGAGGGTGACACAGCTAAGGGTGACACAGCTGAGGGTGACACAGCTGAGGGTGACACAGCTAAGGGTGACACAGCTGAGGGTGACAGCAGGGTGACACAGCTAAGGGTGACACAGCTGAGGGTGACACAGCTAAGGGTGACACAGCTGAGGGTGACACAGCTAAGGGTGACACAGCTAAGGGTGACACAGCTGAGGGTGACACAGCTAAGGGTGACACTGCTGAGGGTGACACAGCTAAGAGTGACACAGCTGAGGGTGACACAGCTGAGGGTGACACAGCTAAGGGTGACACACCTAAGGGCGACACAGCTAAGGGTGACACAGCTTAGGGTGACACAGCTAAGGGTGACACAGCTAAGGGTGACACAGCTGAGGGTGACACAGCTAAGGGTGACACAGCTAAGGGTGACACAGCTAAGGGTGACACAGCTAAGGGTGACACAGCTGAGGGTGACACACCTAAGGGTGACACAGCTAAGGGTGACACAGCTGAGGGTAACACAGATGGTGACATAGCTAAGGGTGACACAGCTGAGGGTGACACAGCTGAGGGTGACATAGCTAAGGGTGACACAGCTGAGGGTGACACAGCTAAGGGTGACACAGTTAAGGGTGACACAGCTAAGGGTGACACAGCTAAGGGTGACACAGCTAAGGGTGACACAGCTGAGGGTGACACAGCTGAGGGTGACACAGCTAAGGGTGACACAGCTAAGGGTGACACAGCTGAGGGTGACACAGCTGAGGGTGACACACCTAAGGGTGACACAGCTAAGGGTGACACAGCTAAGGGTGACACAGCTGAGGGTGACACAGCTAAGGGTGACACAGCTGAGGGTGTCACCACTGAGGGTGACACAGCTGAGGGTGACACAGCTATGGGTGACACAGCTGAGGGTGACACAGCTAAGGGTGACACAGCTGAGGGTGACACAGCTGAGGGTGACACAGCTAAGAGTGACACAGCTGAGGGTGACACAGCTAAGTGACACAGCTGAGGGTGACACAGCTAAGGGTGACACAGCTAAGGGTGACACAGCTGAGGGTGACACACCTAAGGGTGACACAGCTAAGGGTGACACAGCTAAGAGTGACACAGCTAAGGGTGACACAACTAAGGGTGACAAAGCTAAGGGTGACACACCTAAGGGCGACACAGCTAAGGGTGACACAGCTTAGGGTGACACAGCTAAGGGTGACACAGCTGAGGGTGACACAGCTGAGGGTGACACAGCTGAGGATGACACTGCTTAGGGTGACACAGCTATGGGTGACACAGCTAAGGGTGACACAGCTAAGGGTGACACTACTAAGGGTGACACAGCTAAGGGTGACACAGTTGAGGGTGACACAGCTATGGGTGACACAACTAAGGGTGACACAGCTATGGGTGACACAGCTAAGGGTGTCACTACTAAGGGTGACACAGCTCAGGGTGACACAGCTAAGGGTGACACAGCTCAGGGTGACACAGCTCAGGGTGACACAGCTCAGGGTGACACAGCTCAGGGTGACACAGCTCAGGGTGACACAGCTCAGAGTGACACAGCTGTGACTATGAAGAGAATGAATTACCTGGCAGATCACACCTTTTTGTCATTCTGATTTCAGCCCCTTTACTATTTTGGTATATTTTTCCCCTTTGTACTTTTTCTTGCTTTTCTATTTTTATTTGACCTTGCTGTTGTCTGTTTTTGTTTGTCCTACCTTTCTGGTGCCCGTTTTCATTGAATGGAAGCGCCCACTTCAGAGTAGACGACATTTGTTTTTGTTTGTCCTACCTTTCTGGTGCCCGTTTTCATTGAATGGAAGCGCCCACTTCAGAGTAGACGACATTTGGAAATGAGTACTGTGTTAGGTGTTGGTTATGACTGTTCAAGAGAACAGTACTTGAGAACTCCAAGGACACATCGTGCTGATGTACCACAGATACAGCTAATTACCTGTTTATTTATATTTATGGGCTCCTGTGGTGATCCTTGTGGAGAGAGGGTAACAAGTGGAGAACTGAGAGCGCGAGAAAGAGGCCGAGCTATGTGACTACCTGAACGAGGTGTGAAGGCTGAATCTGTCAAAAAAAAAATTTAAATTTTACAAAAGATTCCAGACTTAATGCTGTTTATGAAGTTATTTCTAATTTTTCCAAAATGATTAAAAACAAATTAGTACCCTTCCTCAAAATAGAACTCTCCACAATGAACAATCCATAACTACAATAAATAAGACAGGTGTAAATATATATTCCTTTTATTAGTTTCAACCATTGAGAGGCCCACCTACCTTGATAACTTTCACATTGGTTACACAATACACATATAATTGGTTCTGGAGAGATGCCCTAGTAGCTCCTTCAAGCTATCTTCCTGGGATTGTTTCATACTAACAGGTCATGTCAGCCACAGATTATGCTCTTGTTTGGTCTACCAAGGACCAGAGCCAGAACCTGCCTCCTTCCTCACAGAGGTGCAGAGAACAGATGACAATCTGCCGCCTCACCAGAAAAAGCCTCGGAAAGTCAGCGCAGCTTTACAGACATCACAGGGGTTCACAGAAAATGTAGCCTCGAGAGACTGCCAAACAACTAAGCAAATGAGTCACACAACAAGGGATTCACTCAAACGACCTCAAAACTTGTTAGTACTGATTACCACCACCAGGCAGCCCAGCCCAGGCTCCCAAAGTCCGTTCTGTTCATATGTTGGTGTCCCCAGACCAACTTCTATTACTTCTGGTCACGCCAACTTGTGGGCAAGCCTCAAAGCTAAGTGCCAGCCTTATTTGGACTTGCTTGTCCTGTGGGGGTCAACTACTTTATTGTATTGTATCTAGACTGTACCTGAATGAGGTTCTGGGAGTCCTTCTACTGCCCAAGCCCAGCCCACAGCCAGGCTTGACTATGGTTTCAAATTTTAGTGTAGCTTCACACGCGTGTTTTGATTCCAGCTTGCTATATTGGCTTGGCTTTTTGTACGTTTCAGACTGCATGTACTCAAGATTTTCTTCCTTGTGTATCTGCTAAACTGCTCTCATACAACGAATAATCTTCACTCGTGTGTTCGGGGTTCGCATCTGTGAGGTCAGCCCACCTGGGAGGGGGGCCTCGCCCTGGGTTGTTCAAGGCGTCTTGCTTACTCTGTTGGGTCCTTGGGTTAGGAATGTTCTTTGGCCAACCCGTCCTCAGAACAAGTCCATTCCATCCAGTAGTCAACCCCAAAGAAGCACTAGGTTAGGCTTCAGTGGAAGCCTCGGGATCCTTGTGGGTACAGTAGTAACCCAGGTTGCAATTCTTTTGACCATGTCATGGTGCAGTCAACTAGAGTTCAGGTCCATCTCCTTGGTAATAGTTTGAGGTCTCAGGGTCATTCTGGTTGGCTGACAACCCTTTTCTTTCCTTGGGGTCTTGGCAAGGGTTCTGTCATTCCCATACCCATGACTGGAAGGAGGTGAGCTCCATCTTTCAGGTGTTTCTAAACAGGGCTCAATTTGACCTGTTTCAGTCCCTGCCTGTTTGCTCTGGCATTTCCCAAGGACATGGGGCAAGTGGCAGTGCTACAAGCAGTTGCCTACTCTTCCTGGGGGCTCTTATTATTGCTTTATAGGCCTCCCCAGTCTATTATTTTAAGTTGAGGTCGGCAAGTACCAACATTCGTGATTTACCTTTACCGGCTCTTACTATAGTCTCTCCAACCCGTTCTCGCAAATTTAATAAGTCAATATTGACTTATTAAATATGTGCATAGGTGACATACTTCCCATATTAGTTTCCCTTGAAAAGCTTCATAGAAAACACCGACCTTACCTAACCTGCCTAGTATGTTAAAATAAGCATCTTATAGCTTCGTAATTACAATTGTTACTTAACCTATTATAGGTATAGGTTAGGTAATAATTGTAATTACGAAGCAATAAGATGCTTATCTTAACATACTAAGTAGGTTAGGTTAGGTCGGTGTTTTCTATGAAGCTTTTCAAGGGAAACTAATATGGGAAGTATGTCACCTATGCACATATTTAATAAGTCAATATTGACTTATTAAATTTGCGAGAACGGGTTGGTCTCTCTCAGGTTCATTATGAGACACTCTCATTTGTCATCCAGGTCCTCTTTTGTACATGTGTCGCTTGCTGGTGGAATGTAGGCATTTATAATTATAATTTTATTATCCTGATTACAAATCTCCAGAGCCATTATGTCAACTTCTTGTGGGTTGTCTATTATTAATTTTCTTTGCTTCAAGTGTTCCTTCACCAGCAAGGAAACTCCTCCACCTTTTCAAATATTTCTGTCCTGTCTCAAAATTGAGTAGCTGCTCAGGTATATACCCCCACGTAAAATATTATCCTCAAGTTCTGTCTGTGTTAGTGCAACCTTCTCTAGTATCATAAGCTGTATCATATCATTTAGCTCCAGTATTTTTTATCTCACTCAATTTACGTTAGTACAGTGGAACCTTGGCTTACGAATTTTACGGGTTACGAGCTCAATGTCTTCGTAAAATTTGAATCGGTTTACGAGCTTTGCCTCAATTTGCGAGCTTGTTGATACACGTATTGGTCGATTGAGCACATGGTTCCAGATGGCATGGACGGCCGCATTTCAGTTTACCAGTGGCTCCCACTTAGTGACAATCGTGCTTGAATTCTTTGTAAAGAATTTCATTGTTTTTCAGCTTTATTGCTTTCTAAACATAAAAGTTATTATTATATACCATGCTATGGGTTCCTCAACAATTAAGAATTGGTGTGCAGTATGGGAAGAAATACAAGGTTATGTTGAGATGACTCACCCAAATCAAGCTGCAGTAGGCCATTGCCTTAACCTTTTGTGATGCCACTGTGATGCCTCACTACAGACAAATGTTAAAACATAGGGAAACAAGTCTCTATGAAAAGATTTTTAGTGAGAAAAACAAGCAGTGAGCCACAACCAGGTGCTAGTGGTATGCAGGCCAAAACGTTACCCCAAAGAAGGCATCACTGCCTGATGTTATAATAGAAGGAGACTCCCCTTCTAAACAGAGTCTCCCTTTCTTTCCTTCTCCCCTTCTTCTCCCCTCTCCTCCTTCCACCCTCCTCACCATCTTCCATACGCCAACAAAGGTCATCAATGAAGGCAAGATATAACTTGAGCATACTATGGTACAAAATATTTATGCGTATTATGACCATAGCGAACCACTAAGCTTATATGGTGACGGCAAACAGTAACAGGTGGCCAGACAGATTTGGCAGATGATGCTACCGCCCTCCCTCCCTCAACATTATTCCTCTCACAGCACACCGCAAATTATCACAACAATCCTGCTATTATCAGAATCCTAGTCATTTTTATCACAGTCAGGGGGGGTCTTCTGTAATACTATCATCGCTAAATAATAGCACGTACATATATATTTTGACATTTTTAGGCGGTGCTGTGGTCACAAACTGAACAGCAGTGCTGTGAGCTCATGCTGCGTGCACCAGCCTTGGTGGCTCACTCAGTACTGAGGCCCCTAACACCCGGGAATGTTGCCCACGATTTTTTTTAAATGGCATCTGTTTACAAGAGCCCTGACAAAGTTGAGGTGAACCCCGTGTATCCGCGGGCCGTTTAAATCTTGCGTAGTACTCCAACAAGTCATATGACGTGATGCGCACTTTTGGGTAAGTTACTCAACAGGTCATATGACGTGTTGCCCAGTTTAAGTGTTAAGTAAGGGGGCCAAGTGCTGCCTGGGGCTTCAGTTTGTGATTGTTCTAATAGCTGATTTGTGTTGAGTAATTAGAGGTCATAGATGATTTTGGGTAGTAGTATCTTGGTACAGATACTATATGTGAGATAAGGATACATGAAAGAGTAATAAAGCATTACCACGGCACGGCGAGGTACATAATCTGATTTGGGAAAGAATGCCAATTCTTTTAGAATTTTTTTTTTTTAGTTATATTTTGTATGTGGCACTGGAAATTCAACTTGTTGTCAAGGAAGTTACCCTCTACTTTGTTACTAATTTGGATATACCCATGGTTTGCGTGGGAACACTCATCGCATAGGTTCGAACCATCATCACGCCTCCTATGGAATTTCTCAATTTGGATATTGTTAATTCTTAGATTAATTTGATCAGTGGATTTATTACCAAACAAGATACATAAGGTTCTATCAGTGTTAAGGGTGAGTTTGTTAGCAGTTACCCAAAGATGGACTTTATTTATTTTATTATTCACTATGTCATTCAGAATAAGAGGGAGATTAATAACTGGAGAAAGGTTGAAGGTTGTGTCATCAGCAAATAAAATTGGCTTGAGGTTTGGAGAGGCATTTGGAAGGTCATTAATGTAAATAAGAAAGAGGAGCAAGTATACTGCCCTGTGGAAGACCAATGTTAATGAGCTTAATGAGCAGGGTGGGAGAATTGGAATCATTTACAGAGACATACTGGAACCTGCTGTCACTGACGTAAGACTGTTGGTATTGGAGAGAGTGACCTCTGATTCCAGTGTTGTAATTTAAGGAGGTTATTATTGTTAACAGTGTCAAAAGCCTTATGTAGGTCAACAAATAACCCAACAGCATACTAATTTTTGTTAAGAGCTGCATGTATCAATTTAATCATACTAATCAGTGCATCACTGGTGCTTTTTTTTTTTAGTCTAAAGCCATATTGGCAAGAGCTAAGTATATTATGTTTTGCCAGATAGAAGTAGAGCGGCATGTAGATTAACTTTTCAAATATTTTACACAAGCTTGGCAGGATTAATATTGGTTTGAAATTGTTGACTTCTGTAAGATCACCACTTTTATGAACAGGAGTTACTCTTGTTTTTTTTTTTTAGAATATGTGGAACGGCTTTGAGTTCAAGTGATTTGTTGTAGAGTAATGCAATGGCAGGAGCTAAAAATCTAGAGGCTCTTTTGTAAATTAGGCTTAGTATCTCAAAATGGGCACTTGACTTAGTTTTAAGAAAAAGTATTATGTCATTAACATAAATATGATGAGGAACATGAATACTGAGAAGGGTAATTAGCATGCCAGGCATAAATATCTAGGAGGCTGAAAGCTAGATCTCACTTCCCTGTAGTAACTGATAGGTAAGCACCGCACCAACTCCTAATATTAACACCTACTCCCTACATCCACACCTACTCCCAGCACTCACACCATCTCCCAAGACCCCAACACCAACTCCCAACACCCACACCTACTCCTGACATCCACACCAATTCTCGACACCCACACCAACTCTCGACACCCACACCAACTCCCAAGACTGCCACACCAACTCCCAAGACTGCCACACCAACTCCCAAGACTGCCACACCAACTCCCAAGACTGCCACACCAACTCCCAAGACTGCCACACCAACTCCCAAGACTGCCACACCAACTCCCGACACCCACACCAACTCCCAAGACTGCCACACCAACTCCCAAGACTGCCACACCAACTCCCGACACCCACACCAACTCCCAAGACTGCCACACCAACTCCCGACACCCACACAACTCCCAAGACTGCCACACCAACTCCCAAGACTGCCACACCTACTCCCAAGACTGCCACACCTACTCCCAAGACTGCCACACCTACTCCCAAGACTGCCACACCTACTCCCAAGACTGCCACACCTACTCCCAAGACTGCCACACCAACTCCCAAGACTGCCACACCAACTCCCAAGACTGCCACACCAACTCCCAAGACTGCCACACCAACTCCCAACTCCCGACACCCACACCAACTCCCAAGACTGCCACACCAACTCCCAAGACTGCCACACCAACTCCCAAGACTGCCACACCAACTCCCAAGACTGCCACACCAACTCCCAAGACTGCCACACCAACTCCCAAGACTGCCACACCAACTCCCAAGACTGCCACACCTACTCCCAAGACTGCCACACCAACTCCCAAAACTGACCCACACCAACTCCCAAGACTGCCACACCAACTCCCAAGACTGCCACACCAACTGCCACACCAACTCCCAAGACTGCCACACCAACTCCCAAGACTGCCACACCACTCCCAAGACTGCCACACCAACTCCCCACTGCCACACCAACTCCCAAGACTGCCACACCAACTCCCAAGACTGCCACACCAACTCCCAAGACTGCCACACCAACTCCCGACACCCACACCAACTCCCAAGACTGCCACACCAACTCCCAAGACTGCCACACCAACTCCCAAGACTGCCACACCAACTCCCAAGACTGCCACACCCGGCATCTGACGCTCATACATGGTAGAGATATAAAGGTCAACAGAGAGAGAGAGAGCTGGTTCCTCTGTGTACGTGTTGATTATTTGAGTACTTAGTCGTTTTCAGTTATACTGTACAATATATCCAGAAATTTATCCATATCTCATCCATTATGATGAAATATCTGACCAAAATCCTGAATATTTGGCCATTTCAGGTAAATTGTCTTCATTTGTGGTTATTTAACGAGTTCATTATCCAAGTCTACCTGTGATGGCTGTCTGACTCATTTGATGGGTAACTTATGGATAATAGGTTGAGAACTGTATAATAAGGAACATTACATCTTGTCATCATCTTTCTTATATTAAAATTTAAATTAAGGTGTATAGGCACTTGGAACTCCTTGTACAATGGTGGAGAGTACAATACAGTGGTAATACACAAAATGATGCAATAATATTAGAGACACAAATTCAGAAAGTTTTTATATTTACAAAGTAAACCTGTCATTCTATATACAAGACAATTTTACAAGTCTTAAATACTGTAGTAATACAGTACAGTATTTATACTGTACTGTATTACTATAGTAATACAGTACAGTATTTATAAAAATTCAATATACAAGACAAAAGATACACGATGAAAAGCTTACTGGTGGTGGAGTGTAGGGGCGGAGGTTTTGCGGTGAGCAGGTCTCGTTGATGCTGGAGAAATAGCGTGCGTTCTCGATGTTGCTGTTGGCCCATCAGGCTCTCATTTATTTTCCGTTCAGTCAGATCTATTACCTGAATTATTAAGAAAATTTAAAATTTGAATTTTCCATGTAAATATTAAATTATAAAATGCTTAACTAACAAGGCTAAATAATATATTTAAATAAAAATTTAATTATAATACTGTAACTTATTGTGTTATGGGACAGGCAGCCTGTGTATATATACAAGTTAGACTTATATTGAGGTCCTTCTCCCCCCCCCTCCCCAGGTTGAATACTGATCCTGTCCAAGATGCAACCCCACAACAAGCTAACTAACTCCTGGGTACCTACTTACTGCCAGGTGAACAGGAGCATTAGGTAATAGGAAATGAACGCAAATATTTCTATCCCGCCCAGGATTTAAACCCGGTATTCTCGATTGTAAGTCAATAATGAACGCGATTGTACTACCGGAACTCAGTTTCAACACTGAAAATTTCCATCATTACTTTCTTTCTTACCAATTAACATTACACATTTCAGTCATATTCCAATATGGAAATTTGTAAAAATGATAAATGACATTATAAAAACAGCATGATACTCCTTCGTTTTATTAGCCCCATAGGAGGATTCCCCTCAGTGACTTTCTTGTGCTAAGCACTGGTTAAGCCATACCTTTGTCAGGCCTCTGAGACCCAGCCTAACCTAGTGCAGCCATACCTTTGTCAGGCCTCTGAGACCCAGCCTAACCTAGTGCAGCCATACCTTTGTCAGGCCTCTGAGACCCAGCCTAACCTAGTGCAGCCATACCTTTGTCAGGCCTCTGAGACCCAGCCTAACCTAGCGCAGCCATACCTTTGTCAGGCCTCTGAGACCCAGCCTAACCTAGTGCAGCCATACCTTTGCCATGCCTCTGAGACCCAGCCTAACCTAGTGCAGCCATACCTTTGTCAGGCCTCTGAGACCCAGCCTAACCTAGTGCAGCCATACCTTTGTCAGGCCTCTGAGACCCAGCCTAAGTGCAAGCCTAGTGCAAGCCACGACTAGAATGTGACTCACTCAATAAGGTCAACAGAGTCTGCAGATCACATACACAAAAAATGTGTAACCAGAACGTATAACCACTACAAAACAAATTACTACAGTTCTTGAATGAAATTACGGACTCGCAGGTAACAATGCAAACAATCATTAACACAATGTAAATATATCGACTATGTTGTACATGACCACCAGCAGGTGAAATCTCGTCTCATATAGGCTTCAGCCAGCCATCTCGCCTGGTCAAGCTTAAGGGACACAGCTTCTCTGCAGGGCCCTCCCTACTGCCTCGTCCTTCTGTTAAGTGGAGTGAACCATTGCTGTAATGTCCATTTCACTAGAAACAATTGTTTTGTTATTGTTTCCCATTTGTCCTCACAAGTGTGCTTTTCATTCACCCACATTGTGTGTGCCCTAGCTTCTTATTTCACTCCAGCTTTATGCCAGGGTTCTCTTTCTTTTTGGGCAAATTTCTTGCCAATTGACCCACCAGAGTTTTCTGCTCCTATATCACCTTTTCAAGTAATACACTGGACTTGTTCTTCACCGCAATACTGTTTGATTGGGAGAAAATCTTTGTTATGAGTTAGCTGCTACCACATTTAGCCCTGCTCCCTATGCATGTGAGGGCTTTATGCTTTCACCAAGGGTGTACTTTGTTGGCACAAGACATTGTTCTTATACAGGGCTACCTATGCCTTTCTCAGCCATGTGCTTATTGCCAGGATTAGGGGGTGTTCCGGCAAGATGCTACGTCATGCCTAGTACCTGCCTGTTTTCTAGATGGTCAGGGTAGCTAGTAGCCTTGCTGTTGCAGCTCCTGTTTGTGATGGCTGCCATTGCTGCCACTTCCCTGCCATTCTATCCTTATAGAACATTTTCACTAGGACATAACGATATACTACTGTATATAAATACAACACCCAGGCTCCTCTCTAGCAGGTGGACTAAATAAATACAACACCAGGAGCCTTTCTAGCAGGTGGACTACATAAATACAACACCAGGTGCCTCTCTAGCAGGTGGACTACATAAATACAACACCAGGTGCCTCTCTAGCAGGTGGACTACATAAATACAACACCAGGTGCCTCTCTAGCAGGTGGACTACATAAATACAACACCAGGTGCCTCTCTAGCAGGTGGACTACATAAATACAACACCAAACTCCTCTACAACAGGCAGACTATATAACCACATCTGAGGAAAGTATTCAGATTTCTATACAAAACCTAGATCTCCTGAAGAGAAAACCCCTGATGTAAAAGCCAAGATATGATTTTATTTACATTTTTTAATATATATCAGTTTTCTTTAGTGTGTTACAAGTATAATATTGCATCTTTATTGTCGTTTTCAGATCATTAACTCATAAAATGTCTTAAATACTAAAATTTTGATTTGTTTATAGAGTGAGAGTAATTATTTTGAAGGAAAGAGAGGTTTAGGAGTAAGGGAGATGGTGTTTAAGAAGTGTCAATAGTGGAGATAGTTGGAGGCGTTATTTACTGAGGCAACAAGACCACTCACCTCGGGCTCTTCTTCATGCAGTGCCTCTTCCTCCTCCTCCTCCTGTATGCCAAGAGGGTAGCACAGGGGAGAGGACAAGACACACCATTAGTTATCAAGAGAGAGAGAGTACTCGTAGGTCACCACGGGCCGCACAAACACCCAACAATGGACACCATACAGTACATCACTAGGGTCATATACTATACAACACTATACATTGCTAAGGGACATGCATCATACAGCAGAGACACACACACACCATACAACAGGGACAAACATCACTACAGGACATACACACCATACAACAGGGACAAACACAAGTACAGGACACACACACCATATAACAGGGACAAACATCACTACAGGACATACACCATACAACAGGGACAAACACACACACCATACAACAGGGACAAACACCACTACAGGACACACACACCATACAACAGGGACAAACACAAGTACAGGACACACACACCATACAACAGGGACAAACATCACTACAGGACATACACCATACAACAGGGACAAACACACACACCATACAACAGGGACAAACACCACTACAGGACACACACACCATACAACAGGGACAAACACCACTACAGGACACACACACCATACAACAGGGACAAACATCACTACAGGACACACACCATACAACAGGGACAAACATCACTACAGGACACACACACCATACAACAGGGACAAACACCACTACAGGACACACACCATACAACAGGGACAAACATCACTACAGGACACACACACCATACAACAGGGACAAACATCACTACAGGACACACACCATACAACAGGGACAAACATCACTTCAGGACACACACACACACACACACCATACAACAGGGACAAACACCACTACAGGACACACACACACACACACCATACAACAGGGACAAACACCACTACAGGACACACACACACACACACCATACAACAGGGACAAACATCACTACAGGACACACACCATACAACAGGGACAAACATCACTACAGGACACACACCATACAACAGGGACAAACACCACTACAGGACACACACACACACACACCATACAACAGGGACAAACATCACTACAGGACACACACCATACAACAGGGACAAACACCAGTACAGGACACACACACCATACAACAGGGACAAACCCGGCATTCATTACTGTTGTGAGAAATATGACATGTTACACAAATCAATGATGCAAGTTACTTACTCCTCTTTATTGCTGTTCTAAAAATATATCCTGCCTTTTTCATCCTAGTTCGAGCTCAATGTGATGTTCTTAAATATTTATTGATAAAACATACAGTAAAGTTTACATTATTTTATTGGCACAAACTGTATTCGAATTCTCTTTAGTATTAGCTAATGTATCGCTAGCATTGTATGGTTACCCCCCCTTGATTTGTACCAGTTCATGTACTGTGATCTCCCTATTGTTACAATTTAATGCTCATTTTGCTCAGCATGAGGTTTTCCAAGATGTATCTTATATCCCCCCTTTTGTATATCTTTAATATCCTCTTTTCTGTGGGGAGCCCCCAAAGGCTCCCTGGAGCTGATATTAGCTATATTAGTGTGGGGCTTCAGTCATATGGAGTTCTATTCCTACCAGGAACCACGAGCCAGAACCTGATTTCCCTCAGGGAGGCGAAGGGATGTCATGTCTGCCATCGACCGGGGTTAGGAACCCAGAAAGGTAGGCGCCCCAAAACAAACCCCAACTGGTAGAAAGGTGCAACTCAAGACCGAGCAGAACCCAAGAACTCCCCGCAAGAAAAACAAGGTAACAAGCAAATCATCATCAACCTGACGTGCCGCTCATTCGCATCCCCCCCACCGTGGGAGGGGGGGACCTCTGCCCCACTGAGCTGGCCACTAGACCACTTTTCGTCGACTGCAGCCGGCTCGAACTGACGTCTACTCTGGCTGCCATTTCCTATCAGGATTTTGCTACTCCGGCCTGTGGTGGCGTTGGGCAGCTCCTCCTCCTCTTGGAGGATGTGCGCTGGTGGTGCGGGCTTCTTCCCCTTCAATTCGTCCTGGAGTGGGTGCACTTGGGCGTGGTTGAGATGACTTCGTTCCTCAAGTGGGTTTCTCACTTGTTTCCAGGGCCGAAACAGGACTGTGCGGACCTTCGGTTCATTTTGGACTTGTCCCATCTGAAATGCTGGATTCCTCGCCTCTCGTTTTGGATATCCACTCTGTCCCAGGTCCGGCTTTTCTTGAAGCCAGGATTTGTGGATGGTGTCTCTGGACCTCCTGGACATGTATTGGCATGTCCCCATTCATCCAGGGTTCAAGGACTGGTTAAGTTTTGTGGTGGGGCAGCAAGCTTTCTGCTTTCGATGCTTTCCCTTCAAGCTAAATCTGGCACCTCGCGTTTTCACGTGTCTTATCCGGGTCATGGTGGCCCATTTGTGTCTTCTAGGTTTTCAGGTCTTGGCGTACCTCGACGACTGGTTGGTATGGGCTCCCAGCTGGTTCACTTGTCTACTCGTCAGGGGTTTGGTTCTTTCCCAGTTTGCCGGGTTCAGGTTTCTAGTGAACTGGAGGAAGTCCCATTTGGTTCCATCCCAGGTTCGAACTTGGCTGGGCCTTGTCTGGGATTCTCAGACAGTGTCCATGTCTTTTCCTCCTGCAGCGTTGCTCTGGCTGCAGTCCTGCCTTCGGTTGTTCCTGAGGTGGTCGCTGGTCACTCGGCGGTTGCTCTAGCAGTTGTGAGGGAGTTTGAACTTTGTCGTGCTGGTTTACCCACTGGGTCGGGTTTGGCCTCAGGGTCTGTTCTGGTTACTTGGACTACTGGTGTCCCCACCTGCAGTCTTCTTCTCGGAGACAGTATGAAGTCTCTTGGCATTCTTTTTGACACTTCCTTTCTCTTTGTAGGTTCACTTCTATTTCTGTTTGTATTGTTTTGTCTTTCCTTGCTTGGCTCTTTCAGGACCGACATCTTATGCGGAATACTGTCACCTCTTATCAGGCAGTGCTGGCGGAGCTGCTCCAGCTTGTGTTTGGGGTAGATGTCACTTCAGCTCCGTTCCGTAAGCTTTCTCATGTGTGTTTCCAACTCCGGCCTGCTCATACGCCGCCTGAGCTGATCTGGTCTTTGGATCGGGTGCTCTCTTTCCTCTCTCCTCCTCAGTTTGTTGTGGCCCTTTTGGTCTATGCCTGTTTTCAAACGGCTCTGTTTTTGTTGGCTTTGGCCTCTGGGGGTTGGTGAGCTTCATGCTCTCCTCCGGTGCAGGTGTTTCTGCTCTTTTGGTCCTGGTGGATGTTTTGTTCGTTTTTAGCCATCTCCTCCTTTTCTTGCGAAGAATGAGATAACAGGCTTCTGAAGGAGTCCATGGGTTATTGATACTTAGTTGGTCAGTCCGGGGCTGCATCATGTCTTGTGTCCAGTTGCAGCTTTACGCCTTTACCTGCGCGCCTCGGATTCTGTGTCTGTGGACACGCTTTGGGTTCATCCAAGAGACCCGAGTGCTCTTGGATGAACTTGGCTTACTAGTGCTCGGGTCTCTCAGGTTGTCCGCAGGGTTATCAAGTCTAGCCAGCCTGCAGTCTACCCTCATGTTCATGACGTTCAGAAGTTTGTGGATCTTGTTGCTGTGTTTGGGAACATGTCTTGGGCTGACATCCGGGCACAAGAGGTTTTGGAGGTTGAAGTCGAGTCATGAGGCGCTTGGGGTCACCCGACTTTGCCACCCCGCGGGGCAGTAGTTGCCATGAATATAATTTTACACATTTATTTTGATGTTTCTCATTTGTTTCTTCTCTGGTTTTTTGCTGTAATATTTTTCAAAAGTGTGTAATTTGTGGAATTTATGTAGTTCAATGTGTGGAACATTGCTTTGCTCAAAATTATGGGGCTCATATATGTGACATGTATATTATATTCTATGATCAATCAAACAGTGTTTAGCTGTTATTACACTATATACACGTTGTATATTCCTCTCTACATGTTTGTGCACCATAATGAACCACAAAGATCGTGTGTTGAGAGTTTATATACACAGAACAAGAATCCAAGGTCATCCTAGAACCCGAGAGCTGAGTGTGGCAAGGGCTGTCCCAAATACATTTTTACATAACTATTTCAGTGTTTGTGAACGGTTCAGATCTATTTTTTTACAGTAATTTTATTCAATAGTGTGTAATATATGAGATGTATGTAGTTAAATGTGTGGAACTTCACTATTCTGAAAAATATTGACCTCATATTTGGTGACACATATATTCTTAGATCAACAAAACAGTGTTCTTGTTATTCTTATGCTATATATGCATGTTATATATCACTATCAACATTCATATGCACCATAACAAACTAATAAGCAGTTCTGGTGAGTATGGTGATTTAACTATAACACAGCATGGAGCCCCAAGCAGACAACGCCAGCAGGCACATGATGCACAGCATGGAGCCCCAAGCAGACAACGCCAGCAGGCACATGATGTAAGACAATGCCTCCAATATTCTACTCATCTCACTATGACCAGCTACAAAACTGCTGTGATTATCATAATCCTGTCATGAAATCTTGAAAATGAATCAATTTCCATAACAAAATGAACATTGATGATGGAAAATAAGGTCATTTCATGATGTGTAAATGCAGGAAACAATGGCTGGGTGCTGTCTCTCTCTACCTCATGCTGTGAATATCATAACCAACATTGTGTTTACTGATATCTGAACAATGTACATCGTCTTTATGACAGTCAAGATCATTTATAACACTATCAATGCAAAATAATTTCAGTAACCTATTTTATTCATCATTACTAAGTGGTGCTGTGGCCCCCTAACTGCACAGCAGTGCTGTGTGCTACTCCTGCATCCGCCAGCCTTGGTCGCTCTCTCAGTACTAAGGCTCTCACAGCCAGCATGGATGCTGATGATTTTTTTCAAGATGGCGTCTGTTTACAGGAGTCCTGAGACACAGGATGTGAGCCCCGTGTACCCGCGAGAGTTTTGAATCGCTCCCTATACCTAAAAACGTCACATGGTGCTCTGTGCACCCTCGATCCAGCGCCACAAGGAGCTCTGCACAGTGCAGAGGTTAATGAATTTATAGAATAGGCCTGGTTCTGTTTTACATTTGTCTGTTATCCCTTTCTCAAAATTTCTTTCTGCCTCTCTTCTCACTGTTGTGTAGTTGTTTCTTGCTTCTTTGCATTGCTGGTATGTTTGAGGGTCTGGCCTCTTCCTATAGATTCCATTTTTGTATCTTTTGGTCTCTCGCCCTCTCACAATTTCAGTCCAACCAATCCTGTTTCCTAGTTCTGCATCTCTCTTTTGGTATAATTTTTCTTGTGCCTTTATCGTATATTTCTCAAAACATCTCATTTACTTCCTCACCTAAGAGCAAGTCTTTCCAATCAAATTCTTTAAAGAACACTCCAAGTTTCCCGCGGTGTCCTGTTCTGAGTTCAGGTTTTTCTACTGCTTTATTTTCCTCATTCCCTTCTAGATTATAAAGAAATGTATACTTTATATCCAACAGACCATAGTCACTTTTGCCCAAGAGTGGAAGGTATTGAATGTCAAATATCTCTCCCTCTTTCCTGGTAAATACCAAATCCAGCACTGAAGGAACATCACCCTTCTCTCATCCTCGTAGCTTGTTTAACGTGTTGATACACGAATGTCTCCAGGATAAGGTTTATGAATCTACAGGTTCAAAAGTCATCCATTCTAACTTCATAGGCCTCCCAGTCTATGGACTTCAAATTGAAGTCACCAACTACCAGCAGACGTGATCTATCTTCATCCACTCTTACTATAATCTCTCATGATTGTTATGAGGACCTCTTGTCCCACTCCTCCTTTGTCCGTGTGTTGCATGACGGTGGACAGCGAGCATTTTTGATTATCAATTTATGATCTTGACTGCAGATCTCCAGCGCTATTATGTCAACTTTTCATAGACTGTCAATCATTATTTTGTTTACTGTTAGGTGTTCTTTCACCAGCACAGCAACACCTCCATCTTTCCTAATTTTTCCTCTCCCATCTCTAAAATTAGTAGCCCCTTAGGAATATTACTGCATTTAAAATATCATCTTCAGGTTTCATCTCCATGAGTGCGACAATGACTGTCGTCTGCAGCTGTATTACATCACCTGGCTCCCGCAGAGATGTTGTACAGTCACAGGCCAGGAGAACTCTCGATCATAGGGAAGAGGAGCAGACATGCTGCCACAGGACTACAAGCTGAACACGAGTCCTATTGCATGAGCCATGTATCCTTCACACTATTGTATGAGGCATGTATCCTTCACACTATTGCATAAGGCATGTATCCTTCACACTATTGTATGAGGCATGTATCCTTCACACTATTGTATGAGGCATGTATCCTTCACACTATTGCATAAGGCATGTATCCTTCACACTATTGTATGAGCCATGTATCCTTCACACTATTGTATGAGGCATGTATCCTTCACACTATTGCATGAGGCATGTATCCTTCACACTATTGCATGAGGCATGTATCCTTCACACTATTGTATGAGGCATGTATCCTTCACACTATTGTATGAGGCATGTATCCTTCACACTACAGTATGAGGCATGTATCCTTCATACTATTGTATGAGGCATGTATCCTTCACACTATTGTATGAGGCATGTATCCTTCACACTATTGCATGAGCCATGTATCCTTCACACTATTGTATGAGGCATGTATCCTTCACACTATTGCATGAGCCATGTATCCTTCACACTATTGTATGAGGCATGTATCCTTCACACTATTGCATAAGGCATGTATCCTTCACACTATTGCATAAGGCATGTATCCTTCACACTATTGTATGAGCCATGTATCCTTCACACTATTGTATGAGGCATGTATCCTTCACACTATTGCATGAGGCATGTATCCTTCACACTATTGCATGAGGCATGTATCCTTCACACTATTGTATGAGCCATGTATCCTTCACACTATTGTATGAGGCATGTATCCTTCACACTATTGCATGAGGCATGTATCCTTCACACTATTGCATGAGGCATGTATCCTTCACACTATTGTATGAGGCATGTATCCTTCACACTATTGTATCCTTCACACTACAGTATAAGGCATGTATCCTTCACACTATTGTATGAGCCATGTATCCTTCACACTATTGTATGAGGCATGTATCCTTCACACTACAGTATGAGGCATGTATCCTTCATACTATTGTATGAGGCATGTATCCTTCACACTATTGCATGAGGCATGTATCCTTCACACTATTGCATGAGGCATGTATCCTTCACACTATTGTATGAGGCATGTATCCTTCACACTATTGTATGAGGCATGTATCCTTCACACTACAGTATGAGGCATGTATCCTTCATACTATTGTATGAGGCATGTATCCTTCACACTATTGTATGAGGCATGTATCCTTCACACTAATGCATGAGGCATGTATCCTTCACACTATTGTATGAGGCATGTATCCTTCACACTATTGTATGAGGCATGTATCCTTCACACTACAGTATGAGGCATGTATCCTTCACACTATTGTATGAGGCATGTATCCTTCACACTATTGTATGAGGCATGTATCCTTCACACTATTGTATGAGGCATGTATCCTTCACACTATTGCATGAGGCATGTATCCTTCACACTATTGTATGAGCCATGTATCCTTCACACTATTGCATGAGGCATGTATCCTTCACACTACAGTATGAGGCATGTATCCTTCACACTACAGTATGAGGCATGTATCCTTCACACTATTGCATGAAACAAGTATCCTTCACACCTTCACCAAAATCCCTAACCACAAAAGCAAAATGGAAAGGACAGTCTATAGTCTCTAGCATAAACACAAATACGAATACCTGTACAGTATCTTCAATCTATGCAGGGAAACCTAAATTTAGATTTTCTAAGCACCAAGGACAAACAATGCATAGGAAATTCCAGTTATTAAATGTTAGTATTAATGCACATGCATAGCTCTCTTTGAATCAAATACTAGATAAGAGAATGTTTGACTCACCTCAGGAGTTTTATCGGTTGCAATAGCTTGAGCAACTGCAGCTTCCGTTTCTTCAGCCACATTTTCTACATGGTTCTTGCTTCCTGAACGGGTCAACACTGTCTGCCGAATGTGCTGAAAATAGTATATATTTGTTTATCTCTAATATAACACACCGATTAATACATCTAATTATCAATATTTCTAATTATACAGTGCAGTACTGGTGTAAAAACATTAATGATAAATTACAATTGCCATAATTAATCTATATTCCTCTGTACAGTGGACCCTTCAAAATCCAGATCAAACCTTTCCACACCCAACCTGGAATTAAATGAATTTTGAACTTTGGAATACTGTACAGGTAATTGAAATTTTTTGGCTTTTATCACCAAACTCTATTTTTTTTATGGCAATGATTTTGTGGGTTTTTATTTAATGAGTACTGTATGAGTAAAATTATGAAACCTTAATTTCTAAACTTCTCTCTCTCTGTCGCACAGGCTGCCTCTTTGTAACACTGAGGCAGCATAACATGTTACAGTACTATGTGATGCCATCTATTAAGCCTCGGCAGTCACCCTGTACAATACAGGCTTTTAAGTTCTCTATGCCCATGGTTGATGCCATACCTTCAGCTACAGGTTGTAACTGTGCACCACCAACAAGCAGTCCCAGGCAGCAATGTCTCATTAAACACTGGTAAAAACATTATTCATTTACTCATACATCAAAGCTTTCAATGTTTTTCTGTCAATTCTCTTACTATCAATGCTCTTTCTTTATTAACACACTCCATAATCTGATTACTTTGCTTGTATATGTCAGAAACAGTACTAGCATCAAAACCATACTCCTCTGTCAGCTGTTTGCCTCCCCCAGCCACATTACCTGGTTGATACCTGGTTGATGGGGTTCTGGGAGTTCTTCTACTCCCCAAGCCCGGCCCGAGGCCAGGCTCGACTTGTGAGAGTTTGGTCCACCAGGCTGTTGCTTGGAGCGGTCCGCAGGGCCACGTACCCACCACAGCCCGGCTGATCCGGAACTTCTCTTAGAAAACTGTCCAGTTCTCTCTTGAAGATGTCCACGGTTGTTCTGGCAATATTTCTTATAGTCGCTGGTAGGACGTTGAACAACCGCGGACCTCTGATGTTTATACAGTGCTCTCTGATTGTGCCTATGGCACCTCTGCTCTTCACTGGTTCTATTCTGCATTTTCTTCCATATCGTTCACTCCAGTACGTTGTTATTTTACTGTGTAGATTTGGGACCTGTCCCTCCAGTATCTTCCATGTGTATATTATTTGGTATCTCTCGTCTCCTTTCTAGTGAGTACATTTGGAGAGCTTTGAGACGATCCCAATAATTTAGGTGTTTTATCTTGTCTATGCGTGCCATATATGTTCTCTGTATTCCCTCTATTTCAGCAATCTCTCCTGCTCTGAAGGGGGAAGTGAGTACTGAGCAGTACTCGAGACGGGACAACACAAGTGACTTGAAGAGTACAACCATTGTGATGGGATCCCTGGATTTGAAAGTTCTCGTAATCCATCCGATCATTTTTCTGGCTGACGCGATATTTGCTTGGTTATGCTCCCTAAACGTTAGATCGTCGGACATCATTATTCCCAAATCCTTGACATGCTGTTTTTCTACTATGGGAAGATTCGATTGTGTTTTGTACCCTGTATTATGTTTCAGATCCTCATTTTTGCCGTACCTGAGTACCTGAAATTTATCACTGTTAAACATCATGTTATTTTCTGCTGCCCAATCGAATTCACATTCCCACATTTCATTCATGTAATTCATGAATTCATCAATTCATGTGAATTCACATTCACATTTCCCTATTATTAACTTGGCTTTCTTATCCACAGAAACACTCTTCCTTTCATCCTGCCCTAGCCTGTTGTGCCCTGACTGAGACCCTGGGTGTCTTGGGCCATCAGCTGGTAATGTGTGGGCATATTACTACTGGAATTTTCCTGCAGTAACAATTGTTTGCAATAATTCCATCAACGTTATAAATCTGTCCAAGAAGTTGTCTGTTTCTCTTGATTTCTGTGGTTGTCTCTCGTCTCCCTGGCTTCCCTTTGGCTTTTTGAGCCAGGTTCTGATCCTGGTCCCTATCAGGCACTCCTGGGTAATTACTAGGATGAAGCATCGGGAAGCTACCAAGTGTCATACCAGAAAGAGGAGTTTCATTACAATCAACAATCAGTGATTCTTAATCTTGCTCTTTTAATTATAAATATTTCAAAAAGTGCTCTTGTATTTTAAAATTGCTTTACGAAGCTTGTACCTGTATACCTGTTGATGATTCCAAGGATCTGCATCCCCACAACCTGGTCTCCAACCAGGCCACCTGGTTGGAGACCAGGAGGCCTGGTTGCATTGGTTGGTGGTCTGCACTGCACTGGTTGGTGATCTGGTCAACTAGGCTCTTCAGCATTTCTACTCACAGCCTGATGTACAAGTTACAGCCTGATTAATCAGGTATCCTCTGAAGGTGTTCATCAAGTTCTCTTTTGAACACTGTGAGAGTTCAACCAGTTATGTTCCATATGTGTAGGAATGTTGAAAAGACTTGGGCCTCTGATGTTGATCAAGTTCTCTCTCAGTGTGTCTATTGCACCTTTGCTTTTCAATGGTGCTATTTGGAACAGTCTGCCATGCTTTCTGGTATATGTGGTGTTATTTTTCTGTGCAAATTTGGAATCAGTCCTCCTAGTATTTTCCAAACATAAATTATTATTATGTATCTCTCCCACCTGTGCTCTAAGAAACAGATTTAAAATTTTTAAGTGGTCCCAATAATTTAAAGATGATAAGTAGTACTGAAGAGTACCATCAATTCCTATAAAGTATTGGAGTTGGTCTTCACCGGAATCGACAGATGTTCCAATAGTTTTGTAATTAAGTAAGTTGTTCTCGAACCTTCTAGATCCTTGAGAAATCATGCACAAAGTCACGCAGACTCATATGGGCCCATAGGTATACCGGACCAATGGCCATGTAGGATCCATTTGATGTAGGATATAATAAATCTGAAGTTATTCTGATAAGATTCTGATAAGAAATTCTGATAAGATTCTGATATGATTTTGATATGATATAGAAAGAATTCATTACTTAGAAAATAAAGTTGATAAAGTGGGTAAAATTTCCCACAGGAACAACAGACCCGAAGGGACACGGAACTGAACCTGGGGAGGGGCCGACACCAAAACCAACTCATACCTAGAGGAGGAGGGGGAGGGGGGAAACTCTACTCCATGTAACAGTAAGCCCCACTCGGAGGGTAGGAAACCCCGGGAGGGATCCAATGGGGCCCAAGGCCCCCAACCCCAGGAACCTCCACACCAGGACCTGGGGCTGAATCATCCTCCAAAGCCCTGGCCTCAAAAGAAAAAGCCGGGGCAGCTGTAATACACAAAGGAAGGGGGGCCCACTGATCAGACCCATACGCCACGGCTGGAGGAACCGACTCGAATGCCTCCGCCACCCCAGAAGGGGCATGGGCATCCCCGGAGACTGCCCGAGTCTCAAAACCAGCTAAACCCCGCCCCAACCCCGAAGCTCTCAGATGCTTCAGAGCCAGAAGCAGGAGGAGGACCAGAATGCAACACAGCATATATGGACACATAACATACAACATAACAGAGAACATATACGGCACGCATAGACGCGATAAAGCACCTAAATTATTGGGATCGTCTCAAAGCGCTCCAAGTGTACTCACTAGAAAGAAGGCAAGAGAGAGATATCAAATAACATAAATATAACGTGGAAATATAATATACAGTAATAATATTATAATATTATAATATAATATATATAATTATATAACGTGGAAATTACTGGAGGGGCCAGGTCCCAAATCTACACAGTAATATAACAACATAGTACTGAATGAATAATATGGAAGAAAATGCAGAATAGAACCAGTGAGGAGCAGGGGTGCTATAGGCACAATCAGAGGACACTGTATAAACATTAGAGGTCCACGGTTTTTCAACACCCTCCCAGCAAGTATAAGAAATATTGCTGGAACAACCGTGGGCATCTTTAAGAGAAAACTAGATAATTTTCTCCAAGGAGTGCCGGACCAACCGAGCTGTGGTGGATATGTGGGCCTGCGGGCCGCTACAAGCACCAGCCTACTGGACCAAGCTCTCACAAGTCAAGCCTGGCCTCGGGCCAGGCTTGGGGAGTAGAAGAACTCCCAGAACCCCATCAAGCATGAATCAAGCAGGTAAGCAGGGGAAGAACGAGGGTTTGGGGACCGAACAAAGACTGAAGTGACCTACACCCCCAAGTCCGGATCCCTATAAGCAAAGCGGGGCAGCCTCGGGGCATCCGAGGAAGCAACCAACCGAGCATGTTGCAGCAACCTATACCCAGCATGCAACACCTGAACCGCCTGCACCCAAAGAATGTCATCAGTAGATTGGGTGAATTGAGTCACAAACAAGCAACAATGCTCGCAGGACTCAGGGTCGAAGGTGTCACCAACCCAACAGGCAGTATGGCAGAGGGAAAAACAATGAGCGTCCCCCTAAAACACGGAAACAGAGCAACCCTCAAACTTGCACAAGGCGAGAGGGGACCCAGGAGTCGCATCCATCAGACCCCATGCACCCCCACGGGGATTCCCAGGGCCCTTAGACTGGTATTGCTAAGGGTAAGCCCAGGCAGGGTACTACTAACCGGCGCCCAAGCCTACCAAACAAACTGCTAAAGTTGACTCTCTAGGACGTGACTACTCACGGGACCAAGCAGGGGGTTACCACGGAACACGGGAGGTCAAAAACTCCAAGATAACGGGGGCAAGGGACACAAAGGCAGACACCCCCCACCAGGCAAAAACAAAAACGAAAAGAAAAACCCCGCAAGAGGACAACGTACCCAGGAGAAACAGAGCCGGCTGCTGTAATAGGTGAAAATTAGCTGCGCAGTACCCTGCGCCCCTACCAGTCAAAAACTACCACATAACCCAAGGTTTAACCCAAGGTAAACAAGGGAGGAAACCCCCACACACTCGGGGCGGTCAATCACCAAGCAGCAATAGACCACAGAGGTAGACCCCAAGGTGACTTGTGGAAGAGAGCCCCCAAGCTTCAAGGGCAGTACTTACAGGGCACTCAGGACTAGGGAAGGGAACCCTAAGCACATGCAGCCCGAATACCTGTGAATATTACTCCCAGCTCGCACGCCACCATAGGAGCAGTTCTGGACACAAGACACAGCACAACAAGAGAGAATCTGGAACTAGAGCCACATGACTGAGCCACTATCACATCAGCCGAGAACTAGGGTGTGGATTGCCAGCGCAAGGGGTCTGGGGCTCCCCTTTACCCATCTCGGGGAGGAGGAAGCTACGCAGACATGTGGCGCGAATCGTGTGACATCATGCTCATTTGCTCGTTTTCAATTGGGGAGTTCTGTCCACTCGTTAGTCTTCTTTAGTTGTTTTAACCAGGATAGGTGTTTGTTTTGAGGCACTTACCTTTCTGGGTGTCTGGCCCGGTCGATGGCAGACATAGAATGCTCCTAATCCCATGTGCAATTCTATAGGCCATTGTTCCTCGTGCCTCTCTGAGGGGGGGCCAGATTCTGGCTCGTGGTTCCTGGTAGGCCTAGAACTCCACCCACATTGACTGATGCCAAAGTCTTAGCATATTAGCATATCGGCCTGAATAGCTCCGTGGAGCGGAAGGGGCTCCATCAGAAAAGAATTTATTTCTTCTGCGCTTCTGCTTTCATTTAGACAAGTTTGGCTCTGCAAGGTTCAGTTTCAGCTTCTCTGTCTTCTTTTGGAAGATCTCATCTAAATGACCTCTATTCCTCATCAATTTGTAACCTTTGTAACATTACTATACTTTGTAAGGTGGTGGAGTTATCTAGCAAAGTAAAGTTTCAATAAGCTTTGGTTGTTTCTTTTATTATTGGGTTAGTTCTTTTGGCACTTTGGGGTTTGGTCTCATTTTTAAACCATGCAGTGGTTTGCTTTGATTTGCCTATCTTTCTGGGTGCCTTCCCTGGTGATGGCAAAGATGATATCCTTTCAATGTAAGGTGATCATAGACCATCGCTCCCTTCACCTTTCTGAGGGGGCCAGGTTCTGGCTCGTGGTCCCCGGTAGGCCTAGAATCTGATGACATCTGATGATACTAGATAGTACGGCACTTAATCAGTGATGATAGCTTCAGGCAGCCAACGAGGCTCCCCACAGAAATGCTATACTATATAGCGGCAACCTTCAAGTAAAAGACGGTTGCCATCTGAGGCCTTGACATAATAAAACAATGGACTCTGTGCACACTGACATTAACACTTCTTTACCTGTCCTGGCAAAAGGATCAGAAACACTTATGCACATGCAGACGAGGAGTCACAATAATGTGGCTGAAATATGTTGACCAAACCACACACTAGAATGTGAAGGGATGATGACATTTCTTGAGAATGGTCACAATCACACATTCTCAAGTCACAATCGACTTGAGAATGATCCAGGACAGACCGAAATGTCGTCGTCCTGTCACTTTCTAGTGTGTGGTTTGGTCAACACTTATGCACATTTTCTCTTATTTAGAAAGTTCATTTTCTACTATTTAGTTTTAGAAACTCTTATTTTGAAGTTTCAACATTTTTACGCAAGTTTCCCTCTTCAAATCTGAAGATATTAAAATCCTAAAAAACTGCAAACAGTATAGTAAACCTGTTTGAGAAGATGGTGGTCCAAAGCATGCTTGGGATCGTACTGGTGGGCGGAAGGATGTCCATGAGGCAGGAACGTTGGAGGCTGACCCTGCAGCACTGGGTGACCTAAGGGTAGTGGGGACGAATGCGTTCTACTCAATGGTCGCTGATGAACAGATCGGCCAGGTCGAACCTGCAATAAGACACTTTATTACATCCTGAAATTCAAAAAGAACCAAACATGGCAGATGGAATTCAATGAAAATAAATGTCAGGTAATTAAATGGGAAATAAGCAAAAACCAGCCCCGTTGAACCTACAAATTATGTGACAATATACTAAAGACCTCTGACAAAGAAGAGATTTATGCTGCAAATTTTGGAATGATGTTAAACATAGACAGATAAATATTAAAGAAACTGTTCACAACATTCAAGAAATCAAAATTGAAATATGCAACAGTGGTGTGGTACCCATATCTTAAGAAGTAGAAACATGAAATGGTGCAAAGACATTGTACCAAATAGTTTTTAGAACTTAAAAACATGAGCTATGAAGAGAGGCTGGCTGTGTTAAACATACCAAGACTGGAAGATAGGGTAAAAAGAGACAACACGATTACTATGCACAAAATAGTAACAGGAACTGAAAAAATAGGCAAGGCGGCATTTTTAAAACCTGCAACTTCAAGAACAAGAGGCATAGATTCAAGCTAAGGAAATAAAAGTGTGAAAAGCACATATGAAAGCTCTCTTTTGCAAACAGAGTTGCAGAAGTTTGGAACAGGCTAAGTAAGTCAGCAAGGCCTGCTTTCATATCTCTCACTGTATTTCTTACTTCTAAACTTCCCTTCACCTATGCCTCTCCTTCCTCTTTACTTCAAAAAAAAAAAAAAAAAAAAAAGTTAAGTAAGAAGGCAGTGGATGCCAAAACCATCAATATTTTCAAAACATCACATGGCAAAGATTATAGAGAAAACAAAACACTATGAGCATAGCTCTCATCCTGTAACTACATCAAGAAATTAAGCTTAGGTACCATGGACTTTTGATTTAGCGAACCTCGGTTCGGCGAATCTCTGGTTTGGACACAAACTTTCCACGCGGATTTACTCACCCGATTCGACAAACTTTTGTTCGTTGAAGCGGAGCATGTGCAGATTTGCTTAGGATGTTAGGACACAGTTCACAGACTGGAGGAATACTTGCCCATCATATCATAGGTAACAAATTAAAGATTTCCTGAATGAAATCATCCCTTAGAGCAGGGGAAATATTTGAGTATGAATGGTAACTCTGTTAATATGGCTTCAATTATGGTTTTAATGATTTTCATAGATGGGCACAACATTAGAGGAAAGAGTTGGGACCTTGGAAAAGCCAATTAAAACCAAATTCTATGATTCATTTTCATTTTGAGATTTCCCAGTTTTCGTTCATAAATATGGGTCTCCTGGAGAAATCTCTGGTTGCAACGAATCCTTCACTGCAACGAATTAGGGTTGGTCCCATAATGTTCGTTGAATTGAGAGTGCACTGTGATTACACACATTGAACTTGTCTCCCAATGCCCACAGCAAATGAAAATCATCACCTGCAACAAAATTATTCTCAAAGCTTAGATGTGTGAGTTACGAGGATGAACTAAAAGATTTATACCTCACATTACTGAAAGAGAGAAAGAGTTATGGAGATATGATTACCACATACAAAATTCTCAAAAGAATTGATAGGAAGACAATGACATTATTTGGAATGGGTGGTTACATGAAAAGGTACAGAAGTGGAAACTTAAGAAATGTAAATGTTCTGACATACATGCACATGTAATATGATTACATGTGTATGTAATCATATTACATTATGTAAGAGGTAATACACCTACTATGTATGTGACAATAATCATACAAAGTATGTAAGAGGTGATATGATCACCACTTACAAAATACTAACAGGACTCTCTCAAATTGACAAAGAGGAATTCCTGGAACCAGCAACTTCACAAACAAGAAGACACAAATTCAAGCTAAGGAAACAAAGGTGCCAAAAAAATATTATAAAGTTTTCTTTTGCAAATAGTGGTAGACGGCTGGAACAGGCTTAGTGAGAAGGTGGTGGAGGCCAAAACCGTCAGTAGTTTCAAGGCGTTATATGGCAAAGAGAACTGGGAAGATGGGGATACCACAAGCATAGCTCTCATCCTGTAACTACACTTAGGTACTATAATTACACAGGGGGCAGACCTCTTCCCCCTTGCCTATGTCAGTTCATCTTGGAGTTGGTTGTTTCTGGCATGGTCAGAATGATTAGATCTCTTCAGTGAGTCCCTATCTCTTTCCAGTCCCGAAACGTTATTTGGCGGAGCTCCGGTTCATCCTTGGTCTGTCAGGCTCAAGCCACTTTACCCCTTGCCCCCACTTTTCAGATGACCACTGGTGCACCTCACCTAGGTGCACCAGTGGCCTAGATGTACCTCATATTAGAGGCGGGCTCCAGGATGATTTCCTTGGACCTCCTGGACACGCACTGGCACATCCATATTCATCTGGGGCTCAGGGTTTGGTTAGGTTTTGTTGTGGAGTGCCAGGCTTACCACTTTCGGGTTCTTTCCTTCTGCTTGAATCCAGTACCCTATATGTTCACCAGGTTCACTCAGGGCATGGTGACTCGTCTTCTTTTCTTAGATGTTCATGTTCTGGACCCTTTCGACGAATGGCAAGTGCGGGCCCGGAGTCAGTCCATATCTTTGTTAACCAGTGATTGTGTTCTTTCCGAGCTTGCTGGGTTTGGACTTGGCGAGCTGGACCTTATGTGGGATTCTCAGTCAGCATTGCTTTCCTTTCCTCCAGCAGCTTCGTTTTGGCTCCAAGCCACAGCCTGCTGGTGTTTAGGTGGCTTCATGTGAGTCGGTCATTGTTTAAGAGGCTGTACAGGAGCCTGGACTTTGCCTGTGTTTTTTCACTGGGCAGGATGTGGCTTTGGGGGCTCCTTTAGTTTCTCTGGTTCTGCCCCCTTTTGCCCCCTTCGCGATCACTGGGTGCGGGTCCCACTTGCCCTTTGCCAGCTGCTGTGTCACCAGCTTCTTTGGGGTTTTGGGGGTTTGGATCCCTGGTACCTGCCTCCCTCCCTTGTTTGCTTGACATCTTTATGGACACCTCGGCTCTTGGTTGGGGCTTCATGGCCAGCGCTGATCAGGCAGCAGCTGATTAAAATGCTAAACAATATCAAGCAGGGACTTGATATTATTTGTCTGATATCACTAGTAATATCAAACTAATATTAATAGTACCAGTCCATGTAGGATTAGATACTAGTCTGGTACCAAATGGACTGGTACTGACCCCCTTACTACTGGAATACAAGAAGGCCCAGTACTGAGCCCCATCACTAGTTGAATACAACAAGGTTTAGTACTGACCCCATTACTACTGGAATACAAGACCTGGTACTAACCGCATGACTAGTGGAATACAACAAGGCATAGTACTGACCCCATGACTAGTCAAATACAACAAGGCCTGGTACTGATCCCAATAATGTTCAAGGTACAGTGCCAGAAGGTAAAACAAATTAAATAATTGTTTTTCCCGATGACTGGGAGTGAGTGTTGTGAGCAGGAGGAAAGATCACATTACCTGCAATACCTTACGGATGGGCCTAACAAACTGAGCCATCGAGAATAAAATTTAATGTAAAAAAGTCATGTAATTCAAATATTAAGAAGTAAATATAGGTACTGTAACTAGAAAATTATGTGATAAAATCCTAAACACATCAGAGAGAAAGGACCAAAGTATAATGATAAAAGATAACCTAGAAAGAATGAAAGTATAATAATTAAAGATAGCCTAGAAAGAACCAATTTATAATGATAAAAGATAACCTAGAAAGAGCCAAAGTACTGTATAATAATAAAAGATAGCCTAGAAAGAACCAAAGTATAATGATAAAAGATAACCTAGAAAGAACCAAAGTATAATAATAAAAGATAGCCTATCACCTGATGGACATAAATACCAAGGTACAGGAGTGTTATGCTGCATTATTGGCAAATCTGAGATAACTTTAAACACACAGATGGTAAAATGCTAAACAAAGTCTTCACAACTTACGTCAGACCTAAACTGGAAAACGCAGCTGTAGTATGGTGCCGGCACCTAAAGAAACACATAAAGAAAATAGAGTCCAAAGAAGTGCAGGAAAATGGCTCCCAAAGCACCAAGCATAAGTTACGAGGAAAGACAGAGTGTTGGATATGCCCAAGTTGGAGGATAGAAAAACAAAATAGAAGATATGATATCAACATACAAATTTGTAAACATATATATAAGAAGGTGGATATAGAGGAGTTTATGATAACTGATAACAGAATAAGAGGCTATGTTGCAAATTAAAAAATGATGTAAAATAAAACCGGGATAATTTTCTTCACCGATAATCTTCAGAAGAATGATGCGAGTGCTAAAACCACCAGAAATGTCAATACAGTACAGTACTATGATAACTTATACTGCACCATACAAGAAGACAAAGCTATCAGCATAGCTCTCTCCCTCTAACAATAAACAGGTCACTATGCACTCGTATAGTCACTGTATCAATTTCCTATGCAATGCTTGCTAATTTTAGATCAGCATTTAATTGTACAGTATATGCATGTTAGAAAACTGAGGTTCCTTCATAAGCTTTACCACACAAAAGTTGGAATATGCTGTAGTGCTTGTAGTGCTTCCTTCCTTCATAGTCGTAGTCTCCATGGCACAGTTATAGTCCCCACGATGCAGTTGGTAAAGCACACGCCTGGCGCTTCGCGATCGTTTTGGCCTTCGCGATCGTTTTGGCCTTCGCGATCGCTCTTTGTCATATAGCGCTTTGAAACAACTGACAGTTTTGGCTTCTACCACCTTCTCACCTAACTTGTTCCAACCGTCTACCACTCTGTTTGCGAAAGTGAATTTTCTTATATTTCTTCATCCTCTTTGTTTAGTTAGTTTAAATCTATGACCTCTTGTTCTTTAAGTTCTAGATCTCGAGAAATCTTCCCTATCAATTTTATCAGTTCCTGTTACTATTTTGTATGTAGTGATCATATCACCTCTTTTTCTTTTATCTTCTAGTTTTGGCATACTTAATGCCTCTAACCTCTCCTCGTAGCTCTTACCCTTCAGTTCTTGGAGCTACTTAGTAGCATGTCTTTGCACCTTTTCCAGTTTATTGATGTGCTTCTTAAGATATGGGCACCATACCACCGCTAAAAAATATTCATTAAGCCTAATTCAAAGACATAGCAAATTTGTCTTCTAAATTTGACCTGCGAACTGTGAGGCCGCGGAGGACGCTCCCACACTTGGACTGCTGTGGCTCCTATGTGTAGAAGGTTAGAGGAAGTCAGGTCAGAATAGGTGAGGTGAGGACGGGCAAGATATCTTGGGCGTCTATGGTTTATGGAGCCCGTCAGGCAAAGTGGCAGGGCGCTTGGAAGTCGGGACGATGGAGGATTGCTTCCCCTTAGTACTGGTGGTAGGGATTTGTGGCAAGGCAGCCTGGGAAGGGACTCAGGGAGGCACGCCAAGGAGTTCTGAAGGGCGATGTCCAGCATCATTTCAAACGTTTTGAAGATAGCAAAGGTAGCTGTGAGAGGTTAGATATCAACCATAGGAGAAGCAGAGGAGCTGCATCGGGTCAGCTTCAGGAACGGGTTGGATGGATTGCGGAAAGAATTTAGTGAGAAGTCGGATCTGCGTCTTCTCGAGTGCATCCGCAATGCGAGTGACAAGAATGTCAACAAGATCAGGACTCAGTTGCATGGCATGTGGAAGAGAAGTGGTCTCGAGGGCTATAGAAATATCAGTGACAGACAGGTCAGGCACAAGCAAAGGCAGCGGCAGAGCGGGAAGCAGTGGTTGATGAACCAGATCAGAATGAAGCAAAGCACGATTGGAAGGCAGGGTGATAGCGGTGAGAGCCTCAGTTAGCGCCGCTACATATGAAGGACATTGTTTGAATGTAATGGCATGAGCACTACCACAGCTGGAGCAGCAGTGCATATTGGACACACAGTCACATGTGAAATGGGAACCAGAGCATTTGCCACATTTGATGTCGTATTGTGAAATACAACATCAATACCTTGTGAGGTTATTGTGAAAACCTTTACGATGAAAGCACTGAGTGGGACGGGGGACGTACACTTCCAATTTATGGAGAAAGCTATTAATCCAAACCCGATCAGGAAGAAAAGGAGTCGAGAAAAGTAAGCAGGGCAGAACCAGTATCACACAGTTCACCATTAGTGCTACGCATAAATTTCCTGACACCGAAGATTGGAATGTCAGCAACCTGAAGTTGCACCTTGATGTCATCCACATTAATGTCAACAACATGCAGGACCACATATCTTGCCAAACGATCACCCAGAGGTTTATAACAATGGACTTTGTAACCACAGATTTCAGTAACATCCGAAAGCTCCAGGTCCTTGGAGTGATTGTGGTCCACTGCGATCAAGTTCCTGCGTTTATTCAGTCTAATATCATGCACTTTGATCTTAAAGAACTTCGGAATGGCATGATATAGGAGACTGAGCCCCTGCTATTTCCAAAAACACTCTGATCAATGGGTGTATCAGCATCAATGTCAGTGATGAACGTTTGTAAACCAGGAGAACTCGTCCTACCTTGAGGGAACGGAGAGTGTGGAATTAACTGAGGCCGCGGAGGGTCATCTTGAGGTTATCTTGAGATGATTTCGGGGCTTAGCGTCCCCACGGCCCGGTCCTCGACCAGGCCTCCTTTGTATTACACACCCCCAGGAAGCAGCCAATAGCAGCTGTTTAACTCCCAGGTACCTATTTACTGCTAGGTAACAGGAGCATCAGGGTGAAAGAAACTCTGCCCATTTGTTTCTGCCTCCACCGGGGATTGAACCAGAACATCAGGACTACAAATCCGAAGCACTGTCCATTCAGCTGCCAGGCCTGGGTCACAGGGTACCTCAGAATGCTGGAGGCATTTCGCCTCTAATGTATTCACCTTACTGTGATTTTACTGTCCAGGGTAAACTCCCTCTGAATCCCTCTCTATGACTGGGAGATCGATGTGACCAGAATGTGTGCCATGTAACAGTGGGCCCTGAAAACCCTCAAAGGTATCGTGAATGTTTGTGGAAGACACTGCGAGTGCCACCATCCGCCGCCATGGTCGGCTGGCAAGTCCTTTCTCAGCTCACTGGGTTTGGGTTCGGGTTCCTGGTGAACTGGTTTAAGTCCCATTTGGTTCTACCCCAGGTTTGAACTTGGCTGAGTTTCATTTGGGGCTCTCGGTTAGCTTCACTGTCCATGCCTCTGGTGGCCTTGACCCAGCTGCAGCACTGCCTTCTGTTGGTGTTTAGCAAGTACCGGCTGACCAGGTGGTTGATTGAGCAGCTATGTGGGAGCCTCAACTTTGCCCTTCTCATTTTCCCATTGGACAGGGTTTGGTTTCACAGAAGCTGGTACTTCTGCCATGGGAAGAGCCAGGTTCCGACTCTGGTCCCTAGTCGGCTAAACAGAGCTTACGCAAGTGACACAACCTTTTAGTACGGAGCAATCTCAATAAGATAATTTCAGTCACTGGAGCTTCTCCAGGAAGAAGAGTTTCATTACATTCTAAGCAGGGTTTATACCATTAAATCTTACAGGGAAAATAGGTTTCGATTTACATTCTGAATTCAGTAACACATCCCTGATGTAAATAGAGAGATGAGAGTACAGTACAATATTTTATGTAGATCTCTGCACTCACTAATAATGAAGATGGGAGTAAATATTACCCCCTTATTTCTTTATGGGGCATCTTGGAGACATGTGCAGTTGCAGGATGTATTGCAGGTGCAATGACGATCATGAATCATCACTGCACCTCCCAATTGCACCTGTAATGAATGCAATGAATCATCACTCCACCTGAAATGTTGATTATGTATAGTCTTGATAATGTAATGTTGATTACATTATCAATAATGTAATCAACAAAGCATGTACACCCCAAGAAACCTCTCATCCATTTGCGAGTCTGCAAAATACTCCCTTTTTTTTTTTTGGAGATACCCCTTTGTGTTAACAAAATTGTAAATCTGTGAAGTACAGTACTAAACAGAAAATATAACTGACCTGTGGGTCATTGACGTTGGGTACAGCATTGGGATGATAAATACCACCACGCATGATGCCACCGCCAGAACTGGTGTCCATGGCAGTTACCTGTTGCTGGCGGCCCATGCTGCTCGCACCCGGGCCATAACCCTCTCCATCAATCACTGTAAAGCACAACATCATGAAAGGAATGATGCATTTACCATTTCACCCAAAGTTAATGGCACCTAACCTGAAACAAAGAACAATATTTAACAAATATATGGGTAACATATATTTAATTACAGTATTAATTATTTATCTTCACTTCAAAACTGTTAAAAGCAAAAACTAGGCAAGTAGAATTCTTCAAAATGTCTCATAAAAGATATCATCGGGACCTATTTTGGGACATTTTGGGTTTTATTGCATACATGTACATAAACATATACATTGCATATATATGCATATATGCAATGCATCTTTTCTTGGAGATGCATATATACACATATACATATATATATATATATACATATAAGGAATAGAGACATAAAATAGCAAGAAAATAATATACACATTTGCATGAGATCATGGTCAGCAGAAATCATAAAAAACTGACAACATTTGGTGTAACTAAGTACCGAACCTGGAGTGTTTGGGTCTGGAACTGGGGAACCATACCTGGCAGTGTGGGGTAGTAGGGCAGGGGTATCATACCTGGCAGTGTGGGGTAGTAGGGCAGGGGTATCATACCTGGCAGTGTGGGGTACTGGGGCAGGGGTATCATACCTGGCAGTGTGGGGTACTGGGGCAGGGGTATCATACCTGGCAGTGTGGGGTAGTAGGGCAGGGGTATCATACCTGGCAGTGTGGGGTACTGGGGCAGGGGTATCATACCTGGCAGTGTGGGGTAGTAGGGCAGGGGTATCATACCTGGTAGTGTGGGGTACTGGGGCAGGGGTATCATACCTGGCAGTGTGGGGTACTGGGGCAGGGGGTACCATACCTGGCAGTGTGGGGTACTGGGGCAGGGGGTACCATACCTGGCAGTGTGGGGTAGTAGGGCAGGGGTATCATACCTGGCAGTGTGGGGTAGTAGGGCAGGGGTATCATACCTGGCAGTGTGGGGTACTGGGGCAGGGGTATCATACCTGGCAGTGTGGGGTACTGGGGCAGGGGTATCATACCTGGCAGTGTGGGGTACTGGGGCAGGGGGTACCATACCTGGCAGTGTGGGGTAGTAGGGCAGGGGTATCATACCTGGCAGTGTGGGGTACTGGGGCAGGGGTATCATACCTGGCAGTCTGGGGTAGTAGGGCAGGGGGTACCATACCTGGCAGTGTGGGGTAGTAGGGCAGGGGTATCATACCTGGCAGTGTGGGGTACTGGGGCAGGGGTATCATACCTGGCAGTCTGGGGTAGTAGGGCAGGGGTATCATACCTGGCAGTGTGGGGTACTAGGGCAGGGGTATCATACCTGGCAGTGTGGGGTACTAGGGCAGGGGTATCATACCTGGCAGTGTGGGGTACTAGGGCAGGGGTATCATACCTGGCAGTGTGGGGTAGTAGGGCAGGGGTATCATACCTGGCAGTGTGGGGTACTGGGGCAGGGGGTATCATACCTGGCAGTGTGGGGTAGTAGGGCAGGGGTATCATACCTGGCAGTGTGGGGTACTGGGGCAGTGGGGTACTGGGGCCATACCTGGCAGTGTGGGGTACTGGGGCAGGGGTATCATACCTGGCAGTGTGGGGTACTGGGGCAGGGGGTATCATACCTGGCAGTGTGGGGTAGTAGGGCAGGGGTATCATACCTGGCAGTGTGGGGTAGTAGGGCAGGGGTATCATACCTGGCAGTGTGGGGTAGTAGGGCAGGGGTATCATACCTGGCAGTGTGGGGTACTGGGGCAGGGGTATCATACCTGGCAGTGTGGGGTAGTAGGGCAGAGTGGAAGAAAGAACATGGCCAGTTAGAGGCATGCCGACCCGAGCAGTGAGCGCCGCACGCATGTCTGCTTCAGATACTACAGGTAGTTTCATCCCTTCCTGCAATGCAATAATAGAAAAATAGGCATTAGTGTGAGTGATCCCCAGAGATGTCAAAAGTGGCGGGAAGTCACTATCATACTGTTTGACATGGTGTGCAATATGTATTGATGATGTCCATCTCTAGCATCAACTGCTACATAATATTCTGGAATGAATATATGAATATATATATATATATATATATATATATATATATATATATATATATATATATATATATATATATATATATATAGTGTATATAACCATAACAACATGCCAAAATTGTATGTACAAAGATATGGAAGTACATAATCATACAAACTTTGTCATTCATATTTGAGAAATCTCAACTACTGAATGTATAACAAAATAAAGGATATTAAAAATTGAGGTCTCTATTTTCCTACTGTGTTTATTAATATTATTGAACACCCTAAAGATAAACCACATTAAAGATAAATAATCAACACAGACCACAGCAAATTTCTCCTCCTTGATGGAAGAAGTACACAAAGTCTTGACAAAAACACTGTAACAAGTCCATGAATCACTACTGCCTTTGTTTACAAAGTTCTTGTAATCAGGCGTGTCTGAACAACCTGTCCTCAGGCTAGGCTCATCAAACCAACATTCGACTCCAAAGACACATTCATCAATTTTAACGTAATGCATGTTCAAATGTTGTACTCTCCTAAATACAGTATAGGTTTTATTATTACATACCAACATATACCAACCTGTCCCTTTACTCGTTCATCTGGTCACACATTGGGGGGCTTGATGTTCCTGGGGCCATTGCTATGTTTCTGTTTCCTTTCGTCTTCATAACTGTGTTTTATGTCATCCATAATGTATACCCTAGTTTTATTTTTTGCTCTGACTTTGAATTACTTTCATTATAAGAAGTCACTTTCCATGACCCCTTCCTTCCAAAGGTATCTGCTCTGAGGGTTTGGATTCCTTCTCTTGAGTTCCCTCGATTCCGGGTAGTGCACGGAACTTGCTAATGCAAGGCCCATTGATGGGTAGTGTGATCTTCATGAATAGAAGCTTCTTTTTTGCCTTGTGCTCTGTCTCCTTTTCTTGGAGTTAGGTAGCATCACCTTTCTGGCACCACACTGGCATCTTTCTTTGCAGTGGCACTGTGTAGTGGCGATGCAGACCGGCTGCCTTTCCTCCTCTCTTACATGTCTGTCCTTTGTGTCAGTTAATGTTTGCTACCTATTCTCTCATCTTATCTCCTCATACGGCCTTGGCAGAACAGTTTTGGCTGGTACTGTGTTTGGGGCACTGAGAAAGTGTCCTTAACTCTTGCTTTGGCTGCCTTGAGCGTTCTGTGATCTCCATCTGGGATTCATTTTGTGCACTGTCCTGTGTCCAGTGTAACATTTTTGCATGGAGATGGGGCTCTGTTTGACACCATTATTTCTCGCATCCTTGGCTCCAATGCCCAACTTTTCTAGAGTCTCTCATAGTAGATCAGTCTTGCCAGTAGGCTGTTTGTCTCTGATCTAGAAATTTGAAAATGTCTGCTACTTTGTGATTTTCTTTGCCGTTTTGTCCATTGCTAGTATTCAAGCTCGGGGCTTCTGTCGATTCTTCTGTTGCTGGCCACTTGTTTATTGTTAAATATCACATCATCTCTCTGCTCTTGTATGTGTTTGGGGAACCAAAGTGCTTCTGTGGATCTTTGATCTTGGCCCTCCTCTCCCGCTGTTCATCCCACATGAGTGATCCCATTCTGCCTTTTCTGTTTTCCAGAAATGCTAGCCTCCTCTACTGAGGCTTTGTTGTGAGCAAGTTTGGAGAGTTACCAAGGGAACTCTTTTCTGATTGGCCACCAGCAGCTCCCTGTTCCTGTCCTGTTCTCTTCTTTCCCATAGGTTTATTCCAGCAATATACAGCTACATAGTAATTACCTAAGTGTAATTACCTAAGTGTAGTTACAGGATGAGAACTACTCTCGTGGGGTCCCGTCTTCCCAGCACTTTGAAGGTACTGACAGTTTTGGCTTCTACCACCTGCTTACCTAACTTGTTCCAACCATTTACCACTCTGTTTGCAAAAGTGAATTTTCTTATATTTCTTCGGCTGCTTTGTTTAGTTAGTTTAAATCTATGACCTCTTGTTCTCAAAGTTCCAGGTCTCAGGAAGTCTTCCCTATCAATTTTATCGATTCGTGTTACTATCTTGTATGTAGTGATCATATCGTCTCTTTTTCTTCTATCTTCTAGTCTTGGCATATTTAATGCCTCTAACCTCTACTCGTAGCTCTTGCCCCTTGTGGAACGTGCTCACATGATGACTATACGCAGGGTTGGCACTAGCTCACAGTATTCATTCTTCTACTGGCTCCACTTCAATAACAAAGCTTTCAACACTTCACATGCATACAGGACATCTGTCTTGATCATCTACTGGACTCAGGTGTTAAATCTGCTATCGATTTCAGTTTATACTATATCATCAGTATTAGCTACTGTACTGTTACTGTTAACTTGTTTTATTATATTACCACCACTAAAACAAGTTGAAAGCTATGATGTTAGACATGAGATCACTTGATTGTTTCATGTTTACGTTAAACATATACAGTACTGTACACTACATGAATGAGTTTGGGTGGATATAAATAGGAGCTGCCTCATATGGGCCAATTTTTTTTTTTTTTTTTTTTTTTTTTTTGAGATATATACAAGAGTTGTTACATTCTTGTACAGCCACTAGTACGCGTAGCGTTTCGGGCAAGTCCTTAATCCTATGGTCCCTGGAATACGATCCCCTGCCCCGAAGAATCGTTTTTTCATCCAAGTACACATTTTACTGTTGCGTTAAACAGAGGCTACAGTTAAGGAATTGCGCCCAGTAAATCCTCCCCGGCCAGGATACGAACCCATGACATAGCGTTCTCTGCAGCTCTGCAATTGGTTCTCTGCAGTTCCCTATATTATTCTCCTCTTACATACTCATGAAAGATTCTTCTTGTGTTATAGTTTGAGAGTTGTGATTAATAGAGCTGCTAAGCTAAGAAATTAATGATACCTGCTTGATGCAGTTCTTCTACTCCCCAAGCCCAGTCCGAGGCCAGGCTTGACTTGTGAGAGCTTGGTCCGTTAGGCTGTTGCTTGGAGCGGCCCGCAGGCCCACATATCCACCATAGCCTAGTTGGTCCGGCACTTCCTGAAGAAAACAATCTAGTTTTCTCTTGAAGATGTCCATGATTGTTCCGGCAATATTTCGCCTATGGCACCCCTGGTCTTCACTGGTTCTATTCTGCATTTTCTTCCATATCATTCATTCCAGTATGTTCTTATTTTACTGTGTATATTTATAGTTATTTTAATGTATAAATGTATATTGTATATACATAATGTATAATGTATAGTTATTTTAATGTATAAAATGTATAAAATTATATGAACATGTTTGCTAATGATGCTAAGATACTACAGAAGATAAGAAACTTAGACGATTGTCACACCATTCATGAAGACCTGGACACAATAAGTGTATGGAGCACCATTTGGCAAAAGGAATTTAAGATGAATAAATGCCAGGAGAACATAGACCACACACAATGTTCTACATTCAGTACCAACATTATAATGAGTAAATATATCATATTTATTCATTACTAGCATAATGCCAGGAAGCTTTGCGTGGCTTTGAGTGGCTTTGGGTAGCTTTGGGTAATTAGATGGACCCCTTCAGGCAACCATCCATGCAAGTACAGACAGCAGAAGCTTTAATAATCATCCCTCTGACTTTCCAATCTTAAGCCACCATTCAACTGCCAAGATTTTGCCTTGTCTGCCATAAAATGGCACTGATCATAAACATTTTGCTAATTATACTTAGTATGGTATATGAGAATGAGAGCAAGAAGCAAGAGAGGAAAATATTGGCATGAAGCCACAAGGCAGGGTGAGGCAGGCATCAAGGCCCACCATTCACTCCAGCTAAACTTGAATGTCGGTAGTGGGGCCGCGCCTTGTTGGCTCTCCCTAGCTTTCATCTTGGCACTAATGCACATACTTCTGTCTCACTTGCTTATGCATTTCTATTCATGTCTTGCCCAGTCTATGTTTATTCTGCTAAGTCTAATGGCAGGATTGCTTTCCACCTCAAAACACACGACGTACATTCATGCTAACCTAAACTGTTTCTCTTGTGTGATCTGTGTAGCTACACCAATTAAATGATACATTTAAAGGGTTATTTCTGAGGTAACTTACTCGTTTGTTCTCTCTACACAACAGTTGGAAAACAAAGATATTTTGAACATGAGGTCAAACTCAAGTATCCACTGTAGTCAACCAGAGATATCAGGAATATGTGTGTAATTACATTACCTAAGTGTAGTTACAGGATGAGAACTTTGCTCACGGTGTCCCGAATTTAAAAGCAACATTTGATAAAGATTACAGTTAACTACTGATGATTTTCACATCCACCACCTTCCCACTTGAGTTATTCCAACCAACTACAACTCTGTTCACAAAAAAGAACTTTTGGATGCTTTTCAGCATTTTATTTCCTTAGATTTAAGCTTGCCATTATAGTTTTCAAAAATTCCTCCTTGTCATTTTGCGTTGATTCCTGTCACAATTTTGTATGTAGTGATCATATCTCCTCGTTTCATTCTATCATCCAGCTCTGGCATATTTAACACCTTTAGCCTCTCCTCATAATTCTCGTGTTTTCAGTTCTGGAAGCCATTTAGTTGTATAGCTTTGTTCTTTTCATAACATATAAAAATAATAATAATAATAATAAATAGTAATAAATAAATAAATATAAAAAATAAAGTTTAAGTATGTAAGAGTACAAGCAGAATGTTGGATTTCTAGATAAAGCTAGTGTATACTATGCCTAAAGCCACTAATACACACAGCATTTTGGGCAATAATAATAATAATAATAATAATAATAATAATAATAATAATAATAATAATAATAATAATACACAGAGAGTAATGACACTAACATGATGTGTCAATGAGAAAATCCATATG